GGCGCTGATTTGCGATCTAACGGGGCTCCCATAAACCAGCGGCGGCCGGCGGCGGCACGCGGCGACCGGTACTGCGCCGCGCCTCGCCGCGCCGCGCCGCAACACGCCGCATGCCAAACAGCCCCGCCGGCCGGCCCGTGGGCTGCGGGCTGAGGGCTGCGGTCGGTCAGCCCTCCAATACCGGAGGTGGGTGACAACGGCCCGTCTCCGGCGGAGATATACACGGCCCGTAAACCATGGCATCCGGCAGACCCGCGGCGCAGCGGCCGCTTACGACCCACCCGACACTGAAGGCGTCACTTTACTGACCGTGGGGGTGCACCCGGTGGGGTGCGGGGGAGGGGTGCACCAGCGCCGGGCGAGGAGGGGCGGGGACAAATTACCCCCTGCACGCGTAGTCGGGCCACTCCAATCCCCGCCGCCGCCGCCCCGCCGCCCGCCGGCGAACCCTCGCCCCATGCCGCCAATGTCATTACGGGGCCGACCCACATTGGAATTACGGCTTCCTCCCTCCTCTGCCTAGTTATCGCCCTCGTCCCAGCTCCTCACGCCTGCTTCTCTCCCCTCCTTTGTTCGACTCTAATCTATTTTCCTTTTATCTTTCCCTTATCTCTTTTTTCTCTCCAGCTGGCTCCCTCCTTTGCTCTTTTCTTTCACCATTACTTCATCTCTCTAACCTCCCTCTCTTACTCTCTCTCTCTCTCTCTCTCTCTCTTTCCTCCCCCTCTCTCTCTCTCTTTCCACATTCTTTCTCCACCCTCTCTCTCTCTCTTTCTCGTTCACTCTCTCTCCTCTCTCTCCTCTCTCTCTCTCTTTCTCGTTCACTCTCTCTCTCCTCTCTCTCCTCTCTCTCTCTCTTTCTCGTTCACTCTCTCTCCTCTCTCTCCTCTCTCTCTCTCTCTCTCTCTCTCTCTCTCTCTCTCTCTCTCTCTCTCTCTCGATCCATCCTTCTTGTTGTAGTTACATTCCCTCTATTCTCATTCCGGCTCTCTTTCCCACAGCACTGTCTTTCTCGTGAGACAAACGATTCTGCCTGATGAAATATGTAGAGCCCATCGCGGATGCGCGGCGGTCGTGAAGCCGCAGTCGCAGTAACCTGGCTCTCGCTGTTGACAGGCCACCGTTACTCCATCTCCTCGTCTCTCTCTCTCTCTCTCTCTCTCTCTCTCTCTCTCTCTCTCTCTCTCTCTCTCTCTCTCTCTCTCTCTCTCTCTCTCTCTCTCTCTCTCTCTCTCTCTCTCTCTCTCTCTCTCTCTCTCGCCTCTACTCCTCTCACCAGGTTCACCGATACTGAGCCGAATTGGCGGCAGCTCCGCCCCAGCGGCCGCCCGGCCTGCCCACTTACTTAGCCGTGTAATTCGAGGGAAATTAACCCTCTCCGCGCGCGAACTCGAGAAACAACCCCACCTGGCCACGTAATTGAGACAAAATCGTTAAAAATAGCACGACAAGTCCCTGAGGTGATGTAATGATAGTGGGCACCAGAGAGGGACTCGACAAAATGAGGCTGTTTTTTAGTCGAAGATCAATTACTCTCCACACGTTTGTGGCCTACCAAACACTTTCAAATTGAGCAATTCAGTAAATGGCGAAGTTCGAACAAAAAAGACCACAGCTGTTTGAAACAGTTGAACACAACTCTAGAAACAAGGTCATTATCGTTATGCAAGCGATCAAAGACGTGTTAAGCGGCTACCGTCATTAACATAGCCGATAAACAAAACGTTTAGAGTCCGATTGCGGGCGACCGCGGCCACACGTTGACCACACAGTTCCCGAGGTAGCCGGCGTGGTGAGAAAACACCGCCATGTTTTCACTAATTAACGCTCGACAGCCGTTCTTTGAATTGAGATGTCAGAGTCTGAAGACAAACGAGCGTCTGCTTCCGCCATTGAACGGCGACACAAAAAGCGGTGCTACTCGAGACACTGCGCCGCAGGCGGTCCGAGTGGTGTGGCGGAGCGTCCTCGGAGAGTGCTGGGCCCACTCGGAGTCCGCTGGCACTGACGGGATGCCGACCGCCCCGGCGGACACCCTCTCAGCCTGTCAGCTACACCGCATCCGGCCTACCAGCTCGTGTCGCTCCCAGTCCGAACCAGAGGCCTTCCACTCCCCGAGTCAACACACTGAGAGCTTCCTTTGACGCCAAACCGCCAGGAATTCAACATCCCACCGTGCTATCGCGCTACAATGCCACATTTTCCACAGGGCGGGGAGTTTTCACCTCCAGTCCGGCAGCCGCCGGCGCGCAGCTCGTATATTCATCCTCTCAGCACAACTGCGTAACAACTCGGCCTTTTAGCGATCCGGTACCTGGCAGCTCGGCACAGTCGACTTCATCCCTAAAAGCTTCCAGGCATTTAGGCCGCACTGTTCGTGCACTGCTGTGCTGCATGTTTTAAACAGAAACATAATTAGGTAATTACCTTACTCTAATTAGCGTCGAATAAAGGTGTGCCAACATGCAGTGGCGGCGGGCAAACCCAGGCCAGAGTCCAATCAAGACAAAAATACTGGCGTACCTAACGGAATAGTGGTGAACAAAAGGCTTCAATAGAAACAACAAATTATGCTGTTTTGCTTCTGAACAGACATGGCATTCACTTAAACGGTAAACATTACGTGATATGCACCTACAAAATAAGGGCAAAAAGAAAGAAGAAAAACGATGGACGAAAAGAGAACACCATGGACCCAGTCACCCGCAGCAAACGCCTTCACTTTCTTGACACAAACACTGATTTCAGAAGCCCCTTCTCCATCCCATTGCGTTTCCCCGGCCTCACGACAGCGCTGGTAGGATGGCGGGACCATCCCCACTCACCAATCAGCCCCACGGTCAGTCTTCCGCCTGCGCCAGGCCCTCAGATGAAGATGTTCATAATGGGAACAAACAGGGCTACGAGTTACGCGCTGACCTCTGACCCTGTCCGCGCGGCCGGGCGACCGATAATACCCCGCCTCGGACCGCTCCGACCCGCCTTGTTAGCCGTTCGTCGATAAATCCGCCCTCACAATGGCGGAAAATTGTCCAAAAACAAATAGCGGCGCTGTGCCGGGACGCCGGACGACCGGCGGGGTCAGAGGTCGACCGTGTCGCGGCGTCCGCGAGGTCACGCCAGGTCAGCGGACGCCCGGGGCCGCGGGCCGACACGCCTCACTCCTCTCCCGATGAGGTGTTATCCCGACATGTAAACTCCGCTTACCAAGCAGCATCCAGCGGCGGCAGGCACGTCGCTTGACGCGTCTCTACAGTCGGACCGTCATCTCTGTGGTGTTTTTCAGAAGGACCCGTCTCCTCCCGGCACATGCTAATCCGCCGGGAAAGCTAACAGCATCTACAAGTATAATAGTGTTGTGAGCCGACGCTGCGTCGACGAGCGCACCGCGCCCGCTTCTCGAAATCCGCTTTCGTAAAATGTTCAAACCGTTTTGTTGCACTGCGCGTTTTCCGCTCTTAACCAGCAGCCTAACAGCCACACAAGAGGTAACAAGGGCCGCTGGCGAGCACGTTATTAGCAGTGGCATTGCGTCCCATTTCCTTGCCCCGAGGCGGTCTGTATCTGGCGCAGACAGCTGACCGAGTTGGCACAACGGTTGTCATGGTAACCGTGAGGCACGACGAGAAAAGAGGCCAGCATCGTGTGTCTGTGATCGAGAGGCTGTGACAGACAGCGCTGATAATAAATAGCTCTGCCGAAGCCTGTCAGTAGCGCACTGACATCTGTTGACCGGGTTAAGCTGAGCTGCAGACAGCTCCGATCCAACGGCTGGGTATGAGGGAGTCAAGAAGAGGGCGTCTGCACGCATATGTAGGTATAGGATGAGGCCATTTGCTTCTCGCGATATTGATTTTGGGGCTGTTTTTACCTAGCTAAAATGATCAAACTCTCATGGGGTATTAGCCGTCAACTGACCAATGCGGATATGCCCATGTCAGCTACCTATATGCCATACTGTCAGCTAACCATGGTATGAGTTACATAGATGCTTCATAGACCTAATGAAAGCTACTGGATGTCTAGATGGAAGCAGCCCTTAATCTATATAAATGATTGCCAGAGCCTCCAAATGACCCATCCTCAAAGCGTTTGAAGTCATGACTCCTCATAACTGTGATATCAATTGCCCGATTAGTGAATTTCAGCGACGTCTGTTCTGAATTACCAGAGAGCTAGAACATCTCATGCCATTTCTGTCAGATCAACGCAGCGAATTTAAAAATCTGACTTCCATTTGAGCAACTTTACGGCGATCTATGACAGTGCCAAACCACTTCCGGAAAATTTATTCCTGCGTTCAACGCAGCTCAGGCTGGCTATGCAAATTTCACAAATGTCTTCCGCAATTGAACTGCGTCTGTTCGTATGGCTCAAAGAAAGCCGCGCTTCGAGGAAAGGAGCCATGCACGGCATCAATTTAAATAAGCCGTCAAAGCGACTCCTGAGCCATTTCAGACGACGCCAGTGGAACGATCAGCCATGACGACGGCTCTGGTCGAAGCAGCGGCAGCGGCGGCGGCGCGGCGGCGGCGGCGGCGGCAAGGGTGACCGATGATTAGGACACCGTCGGTCCCCACCGCCGGCGCGGCCCGGCCCGGTCGAGTGGCGCCTTCTCATCAGCTAACAACATTGGCGGCCACTAATACGGCCAATCAGAGGGGTTCCAGCTGGCCAGAGGTCTCAATTACCCGCATTTCACGCTCAATAACCGGCCCGACCAGAAAAACAACGCCGGCGTATTTGTATCTGTTTACGGCCAGGGGAGAGCGGGGAGGAGAGGGGGAGAGGGAAGGGATAGGAAAGACAGAGTGAAGATTATCCGGAGGCCGCCTTGCTGTCAGTGGTCAGCAAGCTGGTGGAATATCCGACTTCTTTCTGGCTCAATCCGACCGTTTCCAACTTCATTTCGACTGAAGTGAGACAACTCACTTGGTCACTTAACACTTTCGTTGCCCTTCCCTGTCCCCATGCAAACAGCACCCTCCGGTGGGACTGACCTGCGCCGACCAGCAGCATCGAGTCGTTGTTGTGCGCCCAGTTACAGAGCAGACACTCTCCGCTAGCCTGATGGAGCCGCTGCACATAATCCTCCATGAACTCTGGCACGGGCGGCGGCGGCACCATGCGAAGAAAGTCGGGCGGCGGGCCCAGCTCCAGCTCCAGCTCCAGCCACCGGTCGCAGCTGAGCTCGGAGCTGTCGCAGCCCGGCTCCTCGGCGGCTGAGTCCGGCTCCATGAGCAGGCTGTCGGAGCCGTCAGAGCTGGTCTCGGTGGCAGCCGCGGGTCGGACCCAGCATACCACCACCGCTGCCGCCTGCAACAGACAGAGCGCTATGAACAGACAGATCATACACAGGCTGCAGCTCCCAGCACCGCCGCCATGATGAGCTGTGTGACGTCACAGGCCCAAAGGCAGAGGAGCCTTGCCGGCGGACCGGGCGACCCAGCCGGTGCCGGAAGATGAGTGGTATATAGGGGATGCTGGGAAGAGATAGCAGGGGGCACGTCTGAAAGCCAAAACGAAACAAATGCGACGAAAAGATAAATACGACACTGTAAATAAATTGAAACACGATAAATCACGGACCAGACTCAGACAAAATACGCAAAGCTCCACGACATGAATTGAGGAAGGTATCACGGAAAGTATCACGAACAACAGAAAGGAAATTGCTTGTGCAGCTGTCAGGCGGTTCTGTCGCCTGCAAATTTACACCACAAACTGCAGGCGGGTTCCTGGTACTCCGCGGTGGTCTGTCCAGCGTCAAAGAAGCCCCCTTCAAGCTATCTGATGGTCACGTTTGTCATTGTACTCTCGTTATACCCGGTCGATCCAAGTTTTACCCGTGTTTGACCACCGATGTGGGGAGCCGGCGCTAATGCAACATTATGCAGCTATTCTGAAACATGGCCGCGGCCGGGAACACCAGGAGTTGGTGCCCCCGCCGACGGGCCATTTGTAGTGCCGCCCGGCGCCGATGTATATCGGAGAGCGGCCCGGCTGCTTTGAATTCAGCCTGCAGCCGGCCGTATGTGTGCCGCGCCGCGCCCGGACAATGCGCCCGTGTCGACAGGGACGCCACTCGAGAGCCCGTGACCGCGCGCGGCCGCCGCGGGAGGGTTCATTTTTTACTCAGCTGTACATCATCTCTCTCGGTCGTCTTTCGCGCACGGACAGGCCGCGGCCGAGCTGGCCTCGTGCCAACGAGCGCGGCCGAGCTGAACCATCTGAGCTCCTCCATCTGAGCTCGCTGGCGCGTGGTCCAGACCGGGCGGCGTCTGTCAGAAACGCGGCAGTTAAATCGCCGACATTTCCATACTACCACGTCAAACTATCACCTAAAGAGCCGGCCCATAAAGATCCCCATCAGCGCGACGGGCGGCGGCCGCGCGGTCGACCGAGTGAAACCGAACTCGCCGCGGTCTTCATATCGCTCCCATCTGGGCACTAATAGTCTTTTCATTAACTGCGCGATGGCAAGATACGTTCAGAGAAGCCGCTGGTAGCCGGAGAGGACGTAACCGTGGTCGGAGCCGCGTTTGAATGGCGTGTGCGCGGGAGGGTCCATTAGTGGCCGAGAGGCGACGGTGCGCCGCGGCAGATCGGGCCCCCAGGAGCCATCAGGGAGGAGACATCCCTCGCAGCGCGCTGCACGGAGCGAGGCAAAGAAGTACTGGCGTGGGCCGGATCTGACAGCTACTAACCAGGCGGCGTCATCCCACAGCCGCCCCGCCCCGCCATCGGCCTACCCACAGGCTCCACCGCTGTACGTTAGAAAGTGAGAGGCACTCGGTTGGATGTATGACGGATTGGTGACCCGCTCCCTGCCCATTCTGCCTCTAGGGCTGTCAATGGGGTGCCAATGACGAGCGCCGCTCGCCGGGAGTTGTCTCAGAATCGGCCCGATCCAGTTTCGTCGGGCAATTAAGGTTAAATGGGGCTTGAAACGTTGTCATAGCCTAGTTGGGGTGATGGATGAGCATCTGGGATCAGCACGAGGTCAGGATGAGGGGCGGTTCGGCGAATCGCCCCCGCAGAGCTCGACTCAGCGGCGGCAGAAATCTGGACGGAACACTGCTGAGACAGCGCCAGTTATAGTTAGAGGCAGCACCTTTTGATGCAGAACAGAGAAATGTCGTAGGAAGTCGGTGGGAAATAGTGGGATAGAAATGATAATGTGCTATACCTAATATATTCATATTCAAATAAATCCTAGTAATATTTTAGTCATATTCAAGCATACACACCGTGATGTATTGAAGAAGGTCAATCGGGTCTTAGAATCAAAGCCGAGCTGCGACCGCCCGCGGCCCGGGAATATCTAACGTTATTCAATCAGATTCCAGCGAGTGCCACTTAAATTGACATGCTACAAAAACGGTACTCAGCAAATTCGGTTAGTGCCGGAGTGACTAGTGTCCTTTGAACGAGGATGTGCAATTTGGGGAAGGATGACGACTACCAAATGCGTTCAATTGCTTGAAAGGCACTCGACAAAGTTGGCTGAAAAAGGATGGCAATTGGGGCTGAATTATGTGCTCGTGGGCTAGTAAACCCACGCAGGCCTTGGTATTTACCGATTGAAGTGTGTACACTGTACATACAGGTCAAGGCTGAACCGACAGTATTGGATTTTCCGGCCTATTTGAACTGCACCGTTAGTGCTCCATTTTGTAGCCGACAGTTCGGTTGAAACATGTCATTTCACTTCATCAAAGGCTTGCACTAGCTGTCCCGTAGCGAGCGCATATTGAAAACCAATGTTCTTATTCACACAAGTGGCGGCTCCGGCACTCAATAATGCCCAGTATTCATCTTATAAAGGCTTTATGCGTTCAGCGGAGCTGTTCATATCAAATGCCAGCGGCACACTTGGTCGATCAATTCCTGACACATCACGGTTGGCTTCCACAAACTGACGCCGGCAAGTTTGCGCAGGCGGAAGGTCTGATTCGGTCTGATTTATCAATTTGCTGAAGTTTCCACTCGAGAAAGGTGACTGGATTTATGGTGGCATTTGGCGGCAATCAGCCTAACCTGGTTAGGCCGATGAACCGCCCTGATTACAGTCGGATACCAATCCGAGTCGCCGCGCCGGCTGCGCGGCACGGCTCGATATGAATTACCCACGCTGCTCGGCGAGCAGCAGCCGCCCGGTACGTCAGGGAGCACTCGCAACCCTTTCCCGCGCGCTGCCCCCGTTCGACAGATGCGAGCGGCAACACATGTGGCCATTGTTTTGCGAGTGGGGCCCTCTAGCCGCGGAGAGAGCGAGCGTCAACGTCCCTAATGGCTGGTCCGTCGGCCCGACTGCTCCCAGACCTCCCCAGAGCAAGCTTAGGCTGCCACTTTACAAAAACACCCGGAAATTCGTCGAAAAGGATTTCGGAAAAACGAGGCGAAAGTGCGAGGTAATATTTTCTCTTGTGACGACAAGGCTTAAACAAAATCAATGAAGCAGTAAGTAAGCATTTCGGTTTTACCAGGGCTTTCCAAAATATTTTCCTGAGTGATTTCACAGAATGTGGCACTCTCTTTTATGCTGCAACATGAACAAAGTTATGACCAAATTTCACAAAGCTGGATCATAGTCACAATGCTGCCAAGTCATGAACATTTTCAAGCTGATATCTCGTTGGACAGCATTCGACCTCGGTTCTCGACGGTCCTCGCAGAAAGGATCTGAAATCTGAATTACCCTTCCAGCAGCGCACGACCGACAGTTTCACTGGCAGACGCGGCCATCCCTGGGAACGAGCGACATGGTCCGCGTTCACTGTCCGCCATTCGCTCCACATTCAGCGGCAGTCTTCTGACGGGAGGACCGGGGACGGCCGTGACGACGGGCGACGACGGCCCTGCTAGAGCTGACAGTCGAAAGGCAGAACAGTCGGCATTCGGCAATCGAGCAGTCAGCAGTCGGTACTGGATACACAAGTAGTCGGAACAGTCGAGAAGTTGACAGCCTAGCAGTTGAGCAGTTGAGCAGATGAGCAGGCATGCAGTTGACATCCAACAGTAGAGTAATCGACATCCAACAGTTGAAGTGCAGTCAGGCAGTCGACAGCCATAGTCGACAGTTGAGAAATGAACAGTCAACAGTCAAGGCAATCGGTGATCTCAATAAGGTATCCGGCAATCGAAAGGCGACAGTCACCATCGGATAACCGTTCCGCAGGCCGTCTCAGCACGGCCAGTCATAGCCCACCATAGACCGGTCTCACGGGCCGCTCCCGGGTATCGCTCGCGGCACATCGCGCCTCCAGTGGCTCGACCAATGGCGATTACACAGGCCATCGGTAGCTGTCGCCCCGCGCCGGTCGGCGCACGATCCGGGCCGTCCCGGCAGCCGGCGCCGCCACACCGCATTTGTATTGCAGCCGGGCAGCGCTCACAAACAAAGGCAACCGGTCGGAGACGCCCAGGGAACTGGCCAGCGGGGCGGCAGCAGGTTCATTGATTTAGGGGCAACAGTGCCGTGTTCAAATACTGGCTCAGGATGTGAGCTGTTTGATTTAATCTCCGGGTCAAACTGCGACCAAACACTGCGGCTGGCAGCTGAGTACCGGCGACGCTGCAGCGCTGCCATTGTGGCCGCACTATTTGTGTTTCAGCGAAACCCGCCGAGGAGGTCTGGAGGCGCGCCGCTCCCCGACCCGGCGCTCTTTACTGCACACCAAGTGTCGGCCTCCCGCGAGCAGAGCGGCTGTAAAATCTAAAAGCGCCGCCGGCACGGCGACCTGGGATTAACCGGGCGCCGGCCGACGGCCGTTTCGCTTAAAGTTAGCACCGGGCCGATGTCGGCTAAAATTCAATCGGCCCCCGGGAGCGGCCGGCCGGACAAGCCCGGCTGGAGGCTATTGACACGTGTAAACGTTACAGAGGTAGCACACCTGAAGTGACGTATGCGCCGGCGCGGCGGTGGGCGGCGGCGGCGGCAGCGGGCGGCGGCAGCGGGGGCGGGGGTGGTTCTGCAAGGCTTCCGCAGAGTCGACCGGGCTGTCGTCCAGGAATCCGCGATAAGCTTGACTGAGAGGATTAGCACAGCGCTGACTCAGAACGCATCCCGTCGAGTGGCGGGCGACGGCCGATTTGGAATAACTGCGAGCCCCGCAGGCACCCCACCCTGGCGTCCGTCCAAACACACTTAGCTTCTGCTTATATTGTGGCGCTCTTAAACCGCACGCAGACGCACAGCCCAAACACAGTGGAATTCGGACACAAAACTGCTACTTAGCGCGTCTGACAGTCTGCTTAGGATGTGAAATATTACATTATTCTAACTGTCACTTTCCCGAGAATGGCTCGATTCC